GATTGTATATTTATTCGTTATATTTTAAATTTAAATATTATATACTTATATATAGCTAATAGTTATATACATATATTAATATATCATGTATATGTTCGTAGGTAGGTACTTATTTTGTTTTAAAGCTYACATAAGTATTTTCAAACAACACGGCGTCTATTGAAATAAAAGCTCAAACCCTGCATTAAATTTCATCGACCATTGTTTCCTTTCTGATTTTATTCGACTATTCGTTGATTACACGCAAGTTTTAAATGCAATCTCAGAACAAAGACAAATAGAGTTAGTACTCGCGGGTGACTGTTAATAATTATTTACAAAAGATATCACCGCGAAAAAGATTATGACTAGCAAACGAAAGCTATTAGGAGTTAGGATTAAGGTTATGAATTGTAATATTCAGATAATAAAGTTTTGACAGAGATTTAATTAAACAAAACGATAGAGAAATTATGAACTTCCAAGTTTTATTTACTGCTAGTCTAGTATTTTACTAAACCTATATTTTTATTTTATTCTTTAGCACATATCTGTGACTCGTGTCATATTTAAGAATTATACTTACAWTTGCTAAAATAAATTATTATTATAGAACTAAAGCAGATAGAAATAATTAAATTTTATAATTTTTTGAATCAGCTCAAAAAAATGTAGGTATAATTGACAGTTTTCTTGAACACATAAGATAACCTGACAGCTGCAGCTTTTGCTCGTTTAAAATGATTTACGTTGAATATTGAATTTGTATGTGGATATGGTAAAATAAGTTAATTTGAATTGTATAAACGTAATTTAAAACTATGATAATGCTATAGGTGGATTTAAGACCGCCAAAAATCTAAATATTACTTATTCTAATTGAGCCCCCCCGCGTAAATTGGTGTATGCTTATGCCTTATTTTAATTTTAGCACCCCCCTGTAATATTTTAGGTCTGAGAACGCTTATGCAACCACAGGATATTTGGTCTCTGAAATCATACCTTAACTGAAAAATATAATAAATTATACACCTAGTACAATTTTTGTAACGTTAAGAATATTCATAAGATATATTATATTAAATATTCACAGTTAATACATAATTAATATATCACCTATATCGACTAGGTATTATTTTTATTCAAGTAAAATAAAGTTATAAAATAATAATTACAGATTTAATAATAAATGCTATCCGCCAATAGTTACTAATATTATAGATTATCGTTTCTAT